CTGGATGGTAGTGCTGGAGATAGGGGGTGACTGGCTACAGTCTAAGACAAACTAAACACGTGTGCCTACTCCTCCCCACAAATATTGGTTGTCTGTTGTCTTTGGGAATATTACACAGTGAGGCCTTAATTTCTTCCACAGTGTGACTCTCATACTACTCTCCAAGGATCACGACAAAGGGATATTTTGTATGTTAATAAACTAAACACAAGGTTCATGAAACTGTTAAACTCATTTGCTGACCCCTAAGCCACAAAGCCCCGTAACAAAAACTATGACCTAGCCATTTTATGTGTTTGTTTTCTATGTACAGGGCGGCAGGTTTGTGTCTCTTAAATAATCAATGCCAAATTTTTAAAAAGGCTATTATATTAAAGTTGAGAAGATCAACTTCACTACACCAGGTTTTTGCTCAGTCTTTCTGCAGAACAGATAACTGTCTGCCGAAAGCATCACAAAAGCACAAAATGGGATCTCTGTAAAAATGTCTCCTCTGAGCGAAAGCCACAACCTTTAGTGTGCAAGGATAATCTTCTTCTTCTTCTTCAGCGATCTCTGGTCATGCGCATAATCCACTGTGGGTCATAAACTGGGATGTCTTTTCAAGGTCTCTTAGGTTTCCCCAAAGCTTAGTAGTCAGTTCTACTGGGTGTTGCCACATGTCACTCCGCAGCTTCGCCAGGAGAGGACAGTCTTGCAGGACATGTTCTGGAGTCTGTTCAGCACAAAGGCACTGGCAGAGAGCTGTTTGGCTCATACCGAATTTATGTGTTCATTGAGTCTGCAGTGTCCAGTACGTAGGCGAAAAACTGTGGCTTGGTCTGTTCTGTTCAAGTGTTTCAGAAAATCTTTTCCGTAGTTATAACCAGTGTTGGTTTTCCAATCTGTTTCTGATTTTCTCTTAATGAGAGTTTTGACTTCTAGAAAAGATAGTGGCTGGTAGGTCTGTGGTTTGTTACTGCCTTCCTTGGCTAAAGCATCTGCGCTTTCATTGCCTTTGATGCTACAGTGAGACGGAATCCACTGCAAGTGAATTTCTGCCTTATTTGACAACATAGCAAGTTCCTGTGTTAGACTTTGTAGTGTGCTGTCGGTAGGTTTGGACTCTAGGGCCTGTATAGCTGACAGTGAGTCAGTCAGAAAAACTATCCTGCCTGCAGTAATTTGCAGATTGTTCATATACTGCGCTGCAAGGAAAATGATCTGACCACTTTGCCATGAGGGGACCTTAAGTTTATATACTTTAATCAAAGAGTGTATCTTTAATTTAACTGTCATAGGTTACACAATACACTCAAGCAGATACTATAATGTGGCAGCAGAAACTGTCAGGACATCAGAAAACTGCAAACACGTCACTGAATTTTGGATTACAATAAAACATTCACATTCAGGTGTACAGAAAATGAAACATTCACTCATTTTAACAAACAGTGGCACCATATACCTTCTGAGGATCCACAAATGCCAACCAGTCTGAAGCATGTGTTGGCAACAATCCCATCGTTTGGCACTTGTACACAGCCATTACCAGGCATACAATGTTGCCAAAACAAAACACTAGTTTCTGTAGGATCGCCTGCTCACCTTCGATGCTTTTAAATGCTGTAGAAATATATTTAATATACAATATAACTGAGGCAATGTGAGGGCTAACAGACTGCAATGGTTGTGGTATATAAAGGGCACTTCGGATGGCTACTGTATGCTTTTAATGCGTGTGTATGCTAGTGCATATGCTGAGACAGCAGTCTGTCAATCTTTCCACAAGGGACTGTGATAAACATTCTGTGTAGTTTTCGTTGGCACAGGAACGGAGCAACTATGGGGTGACCCGTTTGCTATGAAGCTGAAACTAACGTTACCATTACCAGATTTAAAGAGAATGGCAGACAACAATGAGACAAAAACTATGTACAGGAAAGAGCTGAATATGAGAGATGATAGAGGCAAGCCTTTAAAACAGCTGAAGTTACTAACTGGAAAGCAATGGCAAATCACAGATGCATGTAAGAGATCAATGGAGCGGGTAGTGTCTGCAGCAATGAACCTCAAGGGCTTGGAATGCTGTAGAAGGTAATGTAAGGATGCTTTGAAGACATCACTAATGTTCATAATTCCATAGTGACTAGTTGCTGCTCTGCCCTTATGTCCAAGGTTTGAATCCACATCGAGCTTTGATATTTTTTTATCCTTAAACATTACCTTGGCTGCCAGGTTGATTCAGCCTAAAATGGAAACCAGGTAACCTGCTGGGAAGTAAAGGTGTCCGGCGTAATGATGACATCATCACCCATTGATAGCCCGAAGTCTATACAATTATGAGTCTTAACATCACACGCCCAAAGCTTTACTGGCCTGGAAAGGACCTTAATTATTTTCTTTTCTCTCTTTTTTTTTAAAATAATGAAGCATATAAATGAATCATTTTGACCAAAAGACACAAATCACAGTCTTTCGACCATAAATCCCAAAGTAGTTTTAATCAGATAATCCCCAAGCAGTTGGAATAAAGATGAGCAATCCAGCACTGTGTAAACAAAAGGATCACATGCCTCCGTATCTACCCTCACTCTTTTAAGTATTTTCATAAAAACATCCCATATTATCTCTCTCTTACATTCGCCCTCTATTTCTCTTACTGATCTACTCTTCTCTATCTGGCACAGACACACACTATCTCTGTCTTCTCTCTACTAAACAGGTGACATCTAGAGTGTCACTATAATTTAACACACACAGATAAACAGTCCCCCCCCAAAAAAAAAATTCCCAACCTATACTCACTGTTCTGTATGGCCATCATGGCTTGGATGGGCCTGAAGAACATCATGCCCACCATCATGATGGGGAAGATGGAGATGGAGCTGCCGGCCATCCACATGATGAACATGTTCATGGGAACCTGCTTGAGCGGACCCAGCGCAATCTCCCATGATTTCTGTTGGAACGGAAACAACAAATCCATGATTTGTGTTGTAGGAAGCCATATTCACAGAGTGACTAGACACTTCATTGACAGTCTTGTGGTTGAATTCCTACAGAGGCAGATTTTGTTATCCATCCTGGACTGCCTGTTTGTCACAGCCTTAAATGGCACCAGGAAATGTCCTAAGAAAGTAAGGTGGCTGATGAGATGGTTGCCACATCAGCCATCTGGTGCTGACTGGTTGATAAAAAATTAAGATCTAACACCAGTGGCATCAAAAAAGGTGGTTTCCTTTGTACTGTTGTAAAAGTACTGCCATGACTAGGGATTGTCTAGTGTTTGTTCAGTTCGCTTCCACTTCCTTCCTGGCTATTACAATTCCCTCCCAAATCCACTCCTTTCCTGGCTATTACAATTCCCTCCCAAATCCACTCCTTTCCTGGCTATTACAAATGCCTCCCATATTCTGAATCAGCATGGACAGCTCATTTGTCTTAACCTCAAGTGGGGGCATGCATTGATCCCTTTTCTAACCTCAGGTGGGGGCATGCATTGATCCCTTTTCTAACCTCAGGTGGAGGCACATAATGATCCCTTTTCTAACCTCAGGTGGAGGCATATAGTGATCCCTTTTCTAACCTCAGGTGGGGGCACGTAATGATCCCTTCTCTAACCTCAGGTGGGGGCACGTAATGATCCCTTTTCTAACCTCAGGTGGGGGCACGCATTGATCCCTTTTCTAACCTCAGGTGGGGGCGCGTAATGATCCCTTTTCCTCCTCTGTAAGACATTTAGGACAGATTGCTCAGCATAAATTATGTCAGGTTACCAATCAAAAAAATATGTGGGACATATGGAGTGGGTGAGTCATGATAGACATAATTAACTTAATGGATGCGTGCAGTGAATGTTAGCATGTGAATTATGAAGACATGAATCCAGGGAAATAGAATAAAGTATAAAATACAAAGTAAGTGAGAAAGAGTTCAATTCTGTATTTGTCAAATGGCACTGAGAAGGGCGGATGACGAATATTCAAACAGATCTGTGAATGTCTCATCAGCAGCCGACAAATGCTGGGAAATCTGGCTATGTCCAACTGTCTGCATATGGCCGACTGAGAGCATCTGTCAAGATCAGTGAGCGATTAAAATTCCTTTGAGTCAGAATGTTGCAGGACTGAAGGAAGGAGTCAACTGTGAAGATATTTCCGAGGAAGGAATAAGTCAGTGTGTTTGATCACCCTTTGCTATCAACAGTTAACTGAACAATCATTTCCTCAACTGGCACCAATCGAGGAGAGAAGCTCCATAATCCATAAACAGTTTCATGTTAACCGGATTTTATCCAAATTGTGTTTTCCTCGTCTGTGTGTCAAGAAGATTTGTTAACACTGAGCCACAAAGTAGTGCGCTATAGCATAATAGCTGAATAAACAAACAAGGGCATAGACTCTGGCTGTTCCACCACTGAAGGCGTATAGCCTAACAAAGTTATGTAACTTTATCCTTTATAAGTGAGATATAATAAAGTATATTACTTTATCCTTTATAAGTGAGATATAATAAAGTATATTAGCCTACTGAATCAACACCAATCGTCTAGTTCTATGAAATTAAATTTCGAAAAAATGCTGAGTTTATCATAAAAACTGTGGCTGTTTTGGCTGATATATTTTAGCTGCACTTTAATCTTTGCACAAAATCACAGGAACATGTAAATAGTTTACAACAGCTGTAGTACACACAAAAAAGAGTTTCCAATGTGGGTAGATATGACAACAGTCATCAAATCACAGATTCATTCATTGGCACTTTTCCATCTTTCCAGACAATAGTGTTGTTCTGTGCTATGAGAAACATGGGACTCCCAGCCCATGGCGATGGCGAGTGTGACTAGAAAGACCCACCCATGTTGAGAAACGTTTTCCACAATTATAGCCAGGGAATTTGGAGTTGTTAACGTGCACAAATACTTACTTTAATAATAAGACTGGAATCTGCCTCTTTGGCCTTCTCTGCGACTGTGGTCACATCGGTGAAGCCGACCGGAGCTGGCAGGTTTTCTGTCACTGCTACCACAGATCTGTTTCCCTGGCCCCTGGAAAGGTGAGTCAATGAAGTCAAAGATTAATTTTAAAGTTTAAATGTCTCTTCTTCATCTTTCTTTCTCAGATTTCCATCATACTTGATCATCTTTACCGTCTATAGTACCTCATACTTGATCATCTTTACTGTCTATAGTACCCCTTTTTAGTGCCTGTAGAATGGGAGTTAAAGCCTGAGGATTCAAAGACTCACGAATAGTGCAGCCGCCACAAATTGTGCATGTTAAAATACCCACAACATTCAAAAAATAATCTATCTCCTTACTAAGGATTTGATTCGAGATTTTGAAGATAAGACTCTGGCTTTCTAACCACTCAGCCAGCCACTCCTCACATCTATACTATAAATCACAAACCCTTTCTGTATTTGGTGTGTTCATTTCAAATGATGTTTTAACTCCTCTGAAGCCATGACCACTGCATGGATTAAACTTTCAAGTTCAATTATGGCTACAATCTTTAATTTAACAGTCACACTGGCAGTCCACTTTATGAGCATTTCTTTTATTTATTGCAACAATCAGTAAAAGTAAACTTTAGTTGGTTATATCCCTTTGAATTTTTTTTTATTTTCCTTAAAATGGTTTTAAAAAATTTTTAACTTTTATTTTGCTGTTAATTTCCTTGAAACCACATACCTATATGTATCTGAGACCATACATGTGTCGTGTCTCTAAAACTGTTAAATGCTGGTGTTAGTATTACAGCGGTTGCCTTGGGCGCACGGGTGCACTTGGGGCAATGACTAAAGATACAGCAGGGGCAGATACAAAGATGAAGTAGAAGACAGAACATTAAAAATAGGGTTTCGGTTAGACCTCACTAGGCCTACATGCAGGGCATTGGTGGAGACCAAGCTGAGGTAAAGGATGGGAGAATAAGGCTTTCTTTCACTATCTCAGGCAGTCTGGGCAATTAAATCTAGTTGTTATAAAAATGTAAAAAGTTAAGTCTCATTTCCAGAAGGTGGGCTTATCGTGCTAGCCTCATGTTTTTGTCAACCAATCAACACTCTGTACAAATGTGGGCAATATCACATGAGTCACTTTACAGATATGGGTAATATCACATGAGTCACTTGACAGATGTGGGTAATATCACATGAGTCACTTGACAGATGTGGGTAATATCACATGAGTCACTTGACAGATGTGGGCAATATCACATGAGTCACTTGATAGATGTGGGCAATATCACATGAGTCACTTGACAGATGTGGGTAATATCACATGAGTCACTTTACAGATGAGGGTAATATCACATGAGTCACTTTACAGATGTGGGCAATATCACATGAGTCACTTTACAGATGTGGGTAATATCACATTAGTCACTTGACAGATAGAGAGAGGCAACAACTATGTACACAAGAGTTGAGTGGGGGTATACCACATGGTAGACCAACAAGATTGTGGAAAGATAATATTCAGGTATAACCATATTACACTAGAAACACTTGGAGTCACCAATTGTAAAGAGAAAGCCAATCATAAAGATGAATGTAGGTGGGTGATATCTGCAGCAATTAACTCAAAATGTTCAGAATACTAAAGAATATTAATACATTTTACAAATAAATGTTTCATCATTGCAGGAAAATCAGCAACACTCTGATACATTCTGTTCTATGTTTAGCATTTGGAATAGCGGGGTGTACATCACAGCACTCAGGACATTCCCAAATGTGCTCCATCCTTGTCTTCAGCAGCCAGCAAAGTTTTAATTCCGATTGTGCCAGTAGCAGTTTGATTATATGTCCGTCTTGCTTTTCCTCTGAGTTCAGTCTCCACCAGATCTACTGGTCACTCCTAAAGGTTTTGTGTTCATTATAATTTCTTCAGTGTAGTCTTCTGTGGCATCAGGGTATTCTTTTTCTCCTCAGACAGGCAAGGCATCTGATCTGTTGCCTTTTAATGAACTAGTCCTAGTGTACTGAGTACAGTGTATAGCAGGTTTTAAACACCGTCTCTCTTCAAACTCAAATCCAATTTCTTATCTCTTCGTAGCCGAACCTTGAAAACCGTCTTGCGTCTGTTAGGGTGAGTGATAGTGTTGACACTTCGCAGTACCAAAGCATCATTACCTCAACTGCTCATCCCAGTCATGATCAAGTAACTGTCAGAGAAAGACAGACATGCCAATGAGGGTCTTCTTCTTTGCGTTCACCTACTGTAAACTATGGTGTAAATAACCCACACAGGGAAAAATTTCAGTGTCATTGAAAGTAAGCTGAAATGAATGAGTATGAGTTAGTATGATGACTGAGAATCAGAATCTCAATGGCAATTGGGACAATCTGGCCACGCTTTGACTCATTTGTTTAAGCAACAGACGAACGCTGCTCCGATATACGACAAAAACTACGCTATAACAGTGGTGCGCTTATCCCTTTAGATAGATGCCCTAAACACAAACCTTCCAGAACTAACAAAATCAATTGCCCATTTGTGTTTTCTTTTAGACATAACGATTTCACTGTTCCAACAATCGCTACCGTGACTGACAAAACTACACACTGTACACAGCCTTTCACTTCCGTATCCGGTCCCGTAGTCTGCGTTGTCAGTCATTGTCGCACGTCTTTCAAATCAAGAAATTAAATTAACGCAGATTACGTTATTTGCCACACTTAACAATATATGGATGTCAAAGGGATTTAGTTTGAAGATAAAACCCACATTATACAGGAGCAACATTTTAAGAATAATTTACTATTATTATACAATAGTGAGTGCTGAAACAGTGACAGCTTGGATAACATGTTAACTTAAAAAATAAATATCTAAGGAAAATTCATTGACCCACTGGTCAGACAAGAAATAAACTAAAAAGAAACCCAAAATCTTCATACTGGCAAACGTTATCAAAGAGAAAATATAGAGATGGCTTGGATTTGTTTACAGAATATCTAGTGACACTCTGTCAGGGAAATAAAGGAATGTAAAATGACATGGTCCTCTAAAAGTGTCGGTTCTGTGGCTAAGTCGATGCGAACGCTTCGTAATGCCGGATTGCCGGGGGTTCGATAGCAGCTGCGGGCCATGCGTCTTGCGTTGGTTTCGAAAGTGGTATCAAAAAAGCCGACGGTCCAGAAAACAATGGCAAACTACGGGACGTAAATTTGCCTAGAAAACCCACACAACAGCCAGGCGCTGCTGGGGTTTGTTCTGCAACGTCCTGTAAAAGATACCTAACCTCTAAAAGTACTGGAGAGTTTTGGAAAATGCAATTCCGGTCTCAAGACTATAAGCAAAGGAAAAACTCCAACTGCACCTCCACGCGGTAGAGGATAGTAAACACACTGCCAGTATCCGCCTGGATAAGTGGACACCTCCATGGTGGCCTCTGCTGTTGGCAAGAGCTTCACAGAGCAAGGCATTCCCTTGTCCTAGGTAGACCGTGATGAGAGCGACGTTCTGCAAAGGGCCTGCTACATGATTATGGTAACAATGACATGGAATACCATAGGCAGGAAAGCAGTAGGCCGGCAGTAATGGAGACCACTTGTGAATGCCTAATGTGCCACCAGAGACATCAAGAGTGTTTAGACAGACGCGTTACATTGAGTGAAGAACCGTCATCATAGCTTTCGGGACATTACCATAAGCGCTGCGTCCCCGTCTTCAGCAGCTAGCTGAATCTCTTTTTTTTTTCTCTCCAGCTTTCCTTACTCCTAAAGTTATTCGAAACCAGTTAACTCACATTACAGTGCAATTCAGTCGGATTCGGGAACTGTGTGGGGAAACTGTGTGGGGAAACTGACATTTTAATTTCTTGTGTGTGGGTTTTTTGTCGTTTTAATATCAAACTAATTAACAGAGAACTGTTGGCATCTGGAAAGATGTATAACCTGTTAAAGATAAGAATCGCCAAATGTTATGTATGCTCAGTTCTGCTGTAAGATGTAGAAACTTGAACAATGAACACGCAACTAGATCGTCTAACGGAGTCTCTGAACATAATGTGGATATACAGAAGAAGATTTCGTATTTCCCGGAGAAGAAAAAAATCAAATACCAGAGGTTCTGGAGATAATGTAAATGAAAAGAAATTTACTCAACGAAATACAAATAAGACAGCTGAAGTTTTGTTGCCACATTTAAAAGACATTGCACTGTTTTAAAAACCATACTGGGGGGGGGGGGGGGGGGAGTTTGAAGGTAAAAGAGCCAAATGTAGACCACGATACAAATGAGAGATCAAAATCAAGAGACGGACGAACAGCTGTCTGAAATAATGTACCGCCAAAACAAAAGACAGAGAATGTTGGACAGCATTGCAGCAAACCTTTTTTGTAGAGGCAGCACCCGATCGATTGGTTGATACCAGACGATAGAAGATGCAGCGTATGACTGGAAGAAATGATGATGTACGGTTTAAGATTGTGTCGTGGTGAAAGATCATCATTAGAATTGACCAACAATATTGCCGACTGCGATCTGCAATAACTGATCATCGGCACAGGAGTTGGCAAGCATGTGGCGGCAGGCCGTGCCCTAGCCATGGTAGGGACTAGTCCTTATTGGGAACGAAACAAAATTACCTCAAATGACCGATACTGGGTTCCTGTACACAAACTGCGATAGATATGGGCAAGAAACATTCAGTGGGAAATCAAGACTCGCCCCTACTAGGCAGAATAGCCAAAAACAAAAGGTACTCAACATAAAAACAAAATGAGAATTCACAGAGCAGCATCATGTCACGAAGGACGAAGGATGTGTAGACAAATATCCCAGTATAACCAAATTCTTATTGAAGGTGGTTGGGTGCGATTAAAAATGTTCTTTTCCATCAAAAAACAACATGATTACTGATTTGACATTCGATATAATAGTGCTCCTGCCATGCCCACGTACGTTCCGTCTCCACACAACAAATGTCATAAGGTGGAGCCTCGACTGTTTCAAGAGTTCGATGACAAGACACGAACGCTTTCACCATTAAGCAAGACACATGATGATGTTAATTTCAAAAGGAGAACAAAAATATCACTAAGACTGCCGCACGATTCAGCACATTTTATGCACACCATGTCCGTTCACTCTAACAAGACCATTGCAATAATACCTACAAGCAGAAAATGGGATCACAGAGGAAACGGTACAAACGGTACGTAAACATGAATGTTGTTATTCTGTGTGTTGATAGTGAGAAAAATAATGACATTACGCTGTGAAACAAACGATCACATGACTTAGGCATCTTGAGGAATCCAACAATTTTGCTACCAACACAGTCATGATTTTTTTAAATACTATACTTAAGCTAGGAGACGCTCCAAAAGAAAATGAACTGGCGAGACTGTAAACATTAAATTTTCAAACAACATTATAACAATCTATTCTAACCACGAAGGCAGCAGCTCCAGCTTTTCATCACCCACAGTATTAGCCTGGGCTGGTTTTTCCTCTTCGTCTTGTCTTTACCTGGCACCCATTTTTTTTTTTTTTTTTGGCTGCGTCAACCTGGCAACCACGATCAGTTTTGAAACAAATGCGCCTCCGTAAGGTTTTAAACATTAGACATTCGGACCAGCAGGCAACCTTTTGGCGGCTACGTTAGAGCTGCCCCCCTTTTCCCACTAGTGTGTAAAAGTCTTAACTACTGTCCGCCCATCCTCTCGTTTGGCGCCCTTTTTCAGAAGAACAGTATCTCTCTGATGGTCTGTTTCGTGTTCCCAGGCCTTCTTCTATGTCACTTGAGCTGTAGGTTCTAGTGTAAGTGTCGAACCCACGACCACTGAACTGGCAAGCAAGCAGGTTAGCCACAGTGCCACCGTGGCTCCCTTTTAGTGCTTGTGACAGAAGTTTGCGTATAACTTTTGTCATAGCCACCCTCAAAGTGGTAACGGCGCCCTCTCCATGAGAGAAGCTGGCTATAACGGATCCATCACTATCTGTAGCAATATATCCTGGTGAGGCCAGAGTCTCTTACACGGTGGGATTCTCCTACTGCTGTCTGAACAGTCTTTCTCTAAAGTGCACACCACTGGAATAACTCCGGTAAACATCAATTAACGAACCGTTGAAAGATTGAATGAGTGACCTTTAACCCCACCAGGACCGCACAATGTGCGGTTAACACCCGGTGACACAAAGTCCCATTATTCGGATGAGAATCCCCCAGGTGCAAGTTTCAGAAACCCTGTTTAACCTTTAGGTTATATAAGGGCCCCACGACAGCTAGGGTGGGGCTTTACAATTTAAAATACTGGACGGGTGGCAATTAAGAAAAGGTTTCACCAATTCGCATAAGCTCATACTTAATAGTTCAAAATTTGTGTACACACGCAAAGAAAGAACTTAACAGGTTAAAGTCAGTAAAATTTACCTCCCTGGTTGATTGTTTAAACATTTTTTTTTTTTTTTAGCCAATGGGTTTCAAATGCTTATCAAATGTGATTTCTAAGAAAAGAAATGTCTTTTTTTTTTTTTTTTTTTTTCCTAATATATAAAACAGAATTGTGAAGAGAACACCGGGTTTAACTATAGCTTCCCTATTTTTGCAGTGCCACAATCCGTTGACTAGGACTGAGGCTTTGACATAGTCTCATGTCACTGGGAGTCAATCAGTTCAAAGCTGTCATGGGAAACCATGGTTCCAACAACAGGGATACGATTCAAGGCCACCATCTGTGTAAGAACCTATCGGCAGCCGATACAGACTCGCGGATACGTAGAGAGAGGGAAACCAAACAACAGCCAAGAAATGGAGAAAAAATGATCGAAGATGGAAAATGTTGTTACCATAGAAAACTTGAAAAGAAGAGTCGAGAAAAGAGAAGAAATCAGTGCAGGAAAAATCCACTAGCTCTAAAGATGCAAGGTCTCAAATCGATAGATAAGAATCAGGGTGAAGGTTGTTGCCTCACTACCGGAAGTTTAGCGCATCAAGAAATACCGCTAAGTGGAGATAACTGCAAGACTGCAGACACAAGAGATGTGAATACCATTGTGATAAGGCAAACTGAAAACACAGGTATCAGCAAGTTCACTTTGAGGCCAGAAGGGCAAGGGAATGTTCGCGGATTTAAGAAATGTCTTAATGTAATCAACCCTTCAAAAATGACGCAAAGAAAAACCAAAGAGAAGTCGGTAAGTATAGGTAAAGATTCGTTATCTATAAATACAAGCAACGTGTCTCCTCGAAATATGAACCAGATGGCGTCTGCAACTATGAATCACACAACATATGCAACCATCAACACTTCGCTTGTATCTGCCAAAAACATGTCATCTGTAACCATGAACCATATTCCTTCCTCAGTTTCCAGGCGACGATTCTGTATTTGGAATAGAAGAGACACGAACTCACTTCGTGCTCACACGTCCATTTGGTTTCATTGTCTCTATCACAAGCCAACGCTAAAAGCCTTGCGAGATGCGGTCAGTCGCATGAAACACCGATTATGCCAGGAACTGTGCAAACAAGAAATTCTAGATTTCAATAAACATATAGCAGA